ATTTGTATTTGATAAAATTAATTAGTAATTGTTTAAATTATTTTTGAAATATGCTATTTGAGAACTATATTGAACATTTTCTCGAGTATTTTATTTTTTAATTGAAGGTGTTGTTATAAACAATGACTGCATGTAATAAATATTTTTGACTTTAAACTATATAGCAGTATTTTTTCTGTATGTGATTTATGTAATTTTTTTTTTTAGGTCCCAAGATGGTCGGACCCCTCTCCACATGTCGGCTATTCATGGAAGGTTTACTCGTGCTCAAACGCTTTTGGATCATGGTGCTATTGTAGACACTGTGGACAAAGTTGGGTGCTCACCTCTTCACATAGCATCTCGTTATGGCCACGAGTTACTAGTTGGTCTTCTTCTCTCTGTTGGAGCTGACCCCACCAAGTTAGTTTTATATTCTCTGATTTCTTACGAGATTTTCTCTCCCCACCCAAACTTTGTGATAAGGTAGTAATAATTTGTATCATGTATGTTTGCTGTTTGATTTTTCAATGTATTACTGATCTACATCTGTAAACTTTTCTAGGCGAGGTGTTGGAGGCATGACCCCTTTACATCTTGCTGCTTTACGTGGCTTCCTGAACTGTTGCAGTAAACTAATTGATGCAGGTATGTTTTGGGCTGAGACTGCAAAGAATGCTATTAAAATATTTTTCATTATATAAAATAAGGATTTATGCAGTTTTGCATTGACAGTATTTACAATTATTAATCAAAGAAAATTTTTCCTTTTTCCTCATTGTTCAGTTATTTCAGTTAAATCTCACAATTGTTTGTACGTGATTTAACTGTTTCTTTTGTGGTAACTGATAAAAGATTCAAATATGTTTTTTATCATGGTTTAGTAGTAGCTTATATGATCACCTATCCCTTTGTTGTTTTACTAATCCTATGTTTTGGCTGTTACTCTGCTGCCATTTTCAAGGGAGTGCTGATAATGTCTGTGTGTGGTGGCAAAAGCTATGATTCATCCCTTGTCCTTCTTGTTAACAAGGCAGGAGTTCTGTTCACTAATACATGATCTCGCCTCATTTGGAATTAAAACAACTATGTGGATAGTTTCAAGAGAAGCATTTTTGTTTTACTGAAATATATGCTAGGTTAGTTGAATGTGGACCAGCAGTTGGGAACTTTTTCTGTTGTCTATTTTAGGTTGGTGTACTTTCTAACTTTTTATTGTTTATGTGTCTTTTGTAATGGAGCATTTGACACAGGAAATATGACAGTATGTGTTTATAATTTTCTTGGTATTTGTCTTCATCAGGTACTTATGGTATCCATTGTCAAGGAGGGTAATAGCATCATGATTTTGGTTATTCTTCTTAGCTTCTGCTATGTAATAAATATTTATAATTTTCCAGACTAGGTAGTTTATGCTGTCCAATTTTACACTGTTGGAATGGTTTGATCTGTGGTGATGGTGTTTGTGGGTGTACTGTGAACCATAACGTCTAGAAATACGAGTTTTTGTTGTTGTTGTTGTTTTTTACATCATTAATTGTATTGTTGAATATTGTTGGCTCTGGTAATTTATTATTTATAAACCCTTCTTCTGAGGTTTGTATATGTAATTATTTTCAATTTAAAGACAGGATTCATCAAATGCATCACTCTTACATTATTTATAAATTTACATGTCCAAGGCATAAACATGGTTATGTGGACTCTACAATTCGTTGTTTGATCTGAAGAATTAAAAAGCTTGTGCAAAATACACTATATAATCAGTCGGCCATTCTTCATCACTAGTTGCAAGACTGTGACATTAGAATTACTACCAACGATTCCAGCATCTTGGGAAGTATGACCAATGAAAAGGTGCTCAGCACTGAAGAAACCTTGTGGAAACACAAGGTGCGTCCTGAGATGAACGTAAACCAAACAGCATCATCTTTGCTTATGAAGTGCGAGGTGATATGAAGTTTTAGCAATATGTCTTTGCTAAACTGGGTCTTAGATTGACTGTTGTGGGCCATTATGTTCAAATGGTTTCATGTAGTAGTTACTATATGATGGTAATAAGTAAAAACCTATGGTAGAACCTTATTCTTCTTGCTGGAATTAAGTTTGTGGTTGTGAATAAAATAGTGGGTTTTATTACTGTAAATATTATCAGTTGGGTATGTTTTTAACAGAGAAGTCATTTTCAAGTTGTTGGAAAAGTATCTGATATTTTAAGGGTTGAAATGTTAGTGTCTAGGTTTATTCTTTAAAGGTTATCACTGTATATTTTGAGATTATTGTAGGCTGTTTTTATGATCCATATGAAATGGAATATGTTTTTAACGTTTTTCTAGGTAGTGTTATGTCTATAAGATATGTGAGTGGTGGCATGGAATGGAAAGATTAGTCTTGTTTGTGAAATTTATATAGAACACAGATGTGTAGAGTGTTGCTGTGATGTATAAGGTTAGTTTATTTCTGTTACACTTACATTTTAATTTATTTTTTTTCTCAGAAGTTTATTAATCTTTGTATTCATTGTTAAGCCATCTTCATCTAATGTTTGGAGCTTGATGGCGAATTTTTCATTGTCAGAATTATTTTGATGTTGCCTTTTTTTTTTATGATCACCTCATAAAGATAAAGAAAACGAAAACCAAGACTAGTAATAAGCAGGAAGGAACTTACAGATGTACAGCTGTGTTTCCCTTGGTCAAAGATCTCTGTGGAAAGGGCGTGTAAACAACATAAAATCATAACAGTCCTCAAAAGCTGCAACACAATATAATTGAAGATAGTGGAGAGCAAAAATGCCACCTGCAAAATATCTTATGAATGTAGAGTCCAATATACTGGAAAAGCAAAAAACTACACATATTAGAGTTCAGGAGATACAAGACTATAATACCAATCTATCTGCAACTGACCATCATGTCGGATAAGAAGATCGTAGAATAAAGAGCAATAACACTAAAATAATGGGTCATGACCCTTCTACACATAGGTGATGTTCTGACAAAAAAAAGTAGAGGTACTCAGCTGGGTGAAGTGGACTTGTTTTTGAAAAAAATATATCTACTTTTAAACATAAAAAAATGACAATGGAATAACAGTGCAAGGCATACGCATCTGAAAAAGTCCCGATGAATACTGTCAGAATTTCACACCTGCTTCTAGATTCGGCTAACTAATACTCGGCCAACCTAACAAAGAAGTCAACAATGATAACTTTCTTGATGAAACCATCCAAGTAATTGACTCAAACACCAATGAGATGAGTTGATAGAACACTTGTCTTTCTAGTAAGACCCTCGATTGGATCTTGACTCTTCCCACCATGTGTAGTCGATCTTGGGACTTACCCGAAGACAGTAGCCTAGTAGTAGTAGTAGCCAAATGATAGTATCAACTTGCTGGTAATTAGTATCTAATTAATAAAAAATTAATGACTAATTCATAATTAGCCATAGGTAATTGTATAAGCTACTAACCATGACACAACCTTATTGTAGGTACTTCATGATTTCTGTATCTTCACAACAAACATTTACTTATTAGTCTTCATCTTATGAATAAATCCTTGTACCATACAGCTGTGTCTTTGATTCTACGTAATAAATTGATTTTGTGTATTTATTTCATACAAGTTTCTGCTCTGCACCTGCTTAAAAGGAAATACATTTAGTTGTTTTGTTAACGTAAACCAGCAGCTTACATATTAATTGGTGTATTTCACCTAAATATTGATTTGTCTTTTTTTTACTCATCCTACTTGGAATTACAAACCGTGAAACATGCAATACTTTTTGCACTAAGGGGTGTTAGTCATTTATTTATAAACAATGAAGTATGCAAATTTGACCATATAATGTAGAGTTTAGTCATTGAAAATTATATGCAGACAGTATGTTGTAATGCATATTAGAATGATTTTTCTACAAAGTTGCATATAAATGTCAAATCTAGATTGTTATTTTCAGTCTGGAAAATGTCTAACTTTATTTTGAAAATATGAGTGAACATTTAAGCTCTTACTTTCCATCATAATGAGTGTAACAAAAGATGTATTTGATTATGTACGATGCAGTTACGAGTTATTTAATTCATTTTTAATTAGATCTGACCAGCATAGTTGAAACAAGTCTTTTATTATTTATGAAAACCTTTCTATTGCGTAGATTAAGTTAGAAAATAATTAATTCCTGGAAATAGACAGTATCTATTACATGTTAAAAAAAGGGTTAGGCAGAGTGTTGTTATATTTACTTAGTCACACGTTTATACTGGTTAAATTTCTTTGCAGGAGTAGATTTTGCTGCCAAAGATGACAATGGAAGAAACATAGTACATTTAGCAGCATTTGGGGGTATTGTGTTTTTTTTTATATATCAAGTATAATTTTATTTTTATACTTTCAAAATTGGAATTACTGAGTGACTTTGTGAAATAAGTATATGAAAATGGTAATGAAATTCATTTGGACACTTTTAATTTAACCCCATGTTTACTTATTAAGATATGTAGAATTTGCTTAACATTTTGCCGTTTTAAGGTGATGGATTTTTTTTAAACTTCACATTTCATAATTGCTTATATAGAAATGTTAAAATATTTTGATGCTTTTGTAAAAACAGATTCCCTAATCAGTGTTTTTGATACTTGAAAGTTAAAATTTACTCTTGAGGTTTTCAAGGTTAAAGTGAATTTATAGGAAATTAAGACTGCTTTACTAACAAAAGCATAAGTTATATTAAATATATTATCAGTTATAGAATTTAAACATTATTTAAAATTGTAAGATAAAAGATTTTCATAAACAGTAGAAAATCAACATATATTTCTTTATATTATTAGAATTAAGTGTTAATATGACTGTTACAGTGTTCCTGAAAATAAGCACTTTCCAAA